TTGAGTTATGTTGAGCCTCAAAGAGGTAGAGGTCAGCACGGCCCAGCCCTGAAGAGCTCCGTGCTCTTGAACACGGAACGTGTGTGCTAGCCGGGCTTGCTGGACGTGGACGCGACAGACCAGGAAGAGTTTTGAAAAGCTATGGAAGATCCTGATTGATTCTGGGGTGTCACGCAGTTATGTTTGATGCTCCACGATGTAAAGAAGTCAGCTGTATGCTGAGACGCTGAAGGTGCGGCTAAGTGACATCGTCCATGTTTGCTTAGCGATGGGGACATGCATCACGGTGCCGAAGGTCCCTGTGGGCCTCGGTGTCAAGTATCTTTACTTTGGTAACTTGGAACGCTGCTTAGTCTTATACTTAAATTCAGGGTTTGACCATCCTTGGCATGGCATGGTTGGACACCATGAGCCATGAACCCACTTCTGCTAGGTGGCAAAAACGCTATTTTCGCGGGCACTGGGCCGAGACAGTCAGCGTTCTGTAGATTGGAATATCCGAGTTGGTGAACGCCGAAGGTGTATTGGACAGAAGGCTCGAGCATGGCTCGCGGGCTGAACGTGGAGCGGCACGTTTGAAGACGACATCTTGAAATTCCTTCACCAAAGGAAAGTACAGATTCGGGGGAATGTTCAGAACTGAAGATCCACTTCGTTCGCTCAGCGCCCTCTTGGTGTCCTCCAGGACAGCTTCATCCAGAAGCAACGACGATTTGATCACCTCTTCCGGTCGTATAATGGCCACTTCTGCTATGTCGCCTGCCTTCACATCGTCGCCGATCTCTTTGAAGGACATCTTGACAAGCTCAAGAAGAGCATCCACCGCAGGTATAGCCTCGAGGGTCACGTCGCAGTCTTCATCCCCCGTCATATCGTTGACGAGGGTGTATAGTTGTGCGCTATCATCTACGGTAGACACATCCTGGATCAGGGTCGACGCCCGGCGTCTTGCAATCAGCATACGGCGTCGCTGTCACTGCCCCACAGAAGTGTTATGTCTCGGCGAGAACAGGGGAAACACACACTCAGCGTCGTCCAGTGTAAGCCCCACTACCAGCCCCACCGGAGCGCTGATTTTATTAACAACATCCGAGGAAATGCTGCTAGTTCCGCAGTCTTCGTCTATTGAATAACGTGCCACCTCACGCGCATCGGAATGACCTTACCCAAGATGCCTCAGACCTCGGCCGACCATGCCACTCGTGGTATGCAGCGACTGCTTTGAAACGTGAGCAGTGCTCAGTGGTTACGTGCCACTCCACGAGCATAACTGTGGCCTCGCCCTCGATGCCTTGGTCCTTGGCCGACCATTTCACGCATGGCATGCAGCGACTGCTCCGATTCTTGGGCAACGATCAGTGGGATACGTGTCACTCCACTTTCAGCCCGCGAGCCATGCTCGGGACTCCTGTCCGATGCTTGTCCGATGCACATTCGGTGTTCACCAACTCGGATACTCCGATCTCCAGCACGTTGACCGTCTCGGTCCAGTGCCCACACCAATAGCGTTTTTGCCTTCTAGCAGAGGTGGGTTCATGACTCACAAAGCTCCACCAGGATATGTGCGCGTAGCGCTCAAGGTCTTCGACCTCCAGTCGATCCATGGCTCATGGAGTTCCAGCCATGCCATACCAAGGATGAAGTCATACCTTAAATTCAAGTCTAAGACTAAGCAGCGTTCCAAGCTATCAAAGTCAAGAAACTTGATACCGAGG